TTAGAAAACATTACAAATCAACAGTATTTTTATTTTACATTGATGCTTTTTACAGAACGTCTCGGTTACGTATGGTAACCCTCGTTCCCTGAAGGTTTGGTTTTTTTTGTTTTGTTGTGTTGTTGTTTATTTTGTTGTGTTGTGTTGTGTTGTGTTGTGTTGTGGTTTGTCTTGTTTTGTTTTTGAAAGAAGTCGCGTATCCTTAAATGACAAGGCTGCATTTATTTAATAAAAAAACAACAACAAAAACAACAAAAAAAACAGCAGTAAAATTACAATTTAAAATAGCTGTTTTTTTAATGCAAATCGCAACGCATAATTTTCAGCAGTCACTAACCAATAAAGACTTTCATAATATTACAAAAGAAAGAATAGCTTTGCCATCACAGGAATAAATAAAAATGTGAAATATATTCAAATAGAAAGCTGTTGTTTTAAATTCTAATAATATTCACAATATTGCTGTTTTTTATGTCATCAAATAAATTAGTGAGCATAAGCAATTTATTTATTTTTTTTAGAAAACATTACATATCAACAGTATTTTTATTTTACATTGATGCTTTTTACAGAACGTCTCGGTTACGTATGGTAACCCTCGTTCCCTGAAGGAGACGTCACATCGGATGACCGACGAATTGGGATGTCGCTTAGAGAGACCAATCTACTTCGAGTGTAAACTAAACGAGCCAATGCACATTGGCATGCGATTATTGCATCCAGCTGCTGCTGATCACAGCGTGAGTATAAGTAGGCAGCAGATGCAGCGCATACTCAGGTTTTCGCTGAGGAGCCGAGCCGGTGACCCGGCCGCTCAGCGGTGGTACAGGAGCTGTGGCGACGGGACGTGACGTCTCCGTTCCCTCCTTCAGGGAACAAGGGTTACCATACTTAACCGAGAGGTTCCCTTTCAGTCGTTCACTCTCGACGTCACGTCGGATGACCGACGAATTGGGATCCTACCTAAAGGCCACAGCTACTGCCGCTTCCAGTCTCCTGTGGAAGACACCTGCGCCCCTACTTTTTGGCGTAGGCCAGGGCTTGCACAACAGCAGGAGCAAAGTCTTCATCAAAAGGAACTTCAGTTCAACCATCTGCAAAGGCTCAAATGGGCCCTGTTGTAGTGCCGTGAGCACTAGAGTCAGGTCCCAAGAGGGTATAGAGGGGGGCCGTGGAGGGTTTAACCTTCTCGCCCCCTTAAGGAACCTGACGACCAGATCATGCTTCCCCAGCGACCTCCCTTCTACGGGGTCGTGGTTAGCAGCGATTGCAGCGACATAAATTTTAAGGGTGGAGGGAGACATCCTTCGCTCCAACCCTTGCTGCAAAAAGGACAGCACAACTCCGATCGGGCATCTTCAGGGGTCTTCTCGGCGAGAAGAACACCACTCAATGAACAGGTTCCACTTTAAAGTGTAGGCGTGTCTCGTAGACGGTGCTCTCGCTGAAGTGATGGTGTCGACTACCTCTTGGGGTAGGTCACTCAAAACCTCCGCGTTCCGTCCAGGGACCAGACATTAAGTTTCCAGAGGTCTGGAGGCGGGTGCTAAAGGGTGCTCGTCCTCCCTGACCTTGCACAGCAACTGTGCAAGAAGGCTCACTGGGGGATAAGGCTCATACTTGTGAAGGCCCCGCGGCCAGCTGTGTGCCAGTGCGTCCGTGCCGAGTGTTCCCTCGGCCAGGGAGAAGAACAACTGGCAGTGAGAGGTTTCTGGAGAGGCAAACAGGTCTAACTGAGCGGCTCCGAAACATCTCCAAACCAGCTGGACCGTCTGGGGATGGAGTCACCATTCTCCCGGGAGCGCAGCTCGGGACAGCTCGTTGGCTGCCCAGTTGAGCAGCCCAGGAATGTGAACAGCGCGAAGCGACCTCAGATGCTTCTGACTCCAGAGGAGGAGGTGGCGGGCGAGTTGCGACAAGCGACGGGAGCGCAGACCACCTTGTCGGTTGATGTACACAATGGTCGCTGTGTTGTCCGTGCGAACTAGTACATGCTTGCCTCGTAAGCACCGCCGGGCGAACTGAATCGCATAGCCGAGCCTGACGGTTCGAAGGAGCCATCGAGACGGGCTGGGTAGCTCTAGCCAGGCTCCCAGACACCGCGTAAGTGGCATCAATGGAACTACAGGCGTACCCGCAGTGGGGCAGCGGAAGAACGCAGGGACCCGGCCCAGGCGTCTCGGTGCCGGTCCGAGGCGGTGTCTGGGTGTGTGTAACACTGACCTGCGTTTAAGCAGAGGGTGCGTGGGTAGTCCGTTGGTTCGTCCTGCCGATCCGCCCACTGCTGCTCACTGGCGAGAGAGGAGGGTGAGTGTGATATGGCTCTGGATCGTTCACAACCCCCCGTCCCCTCAGGGGACCCAGAAGTAGAAGAAATTGCTCTATTGTTGAGTATTTGGGTACCACTGACCTCCTTCGGGGGAGGCGCAGTTTTGCTGGACGCTGCGCGGGGGCCGCCCTCGGCGACGAGCGGGCTGAGGCGCTGCCACCAGCGGCCGGGTGGAGGCAGCAGCTGCACGCCGGGGCAGGATGTACCTGATGGCCTCAGTCTGCTTTTGGGCAGCAGAGAACTGCTGGGCGAAGTTCTCCACCATGTCGCCGAAAAGGCAGATCTGGGACACGGGGGCATTCAAGAATCTTGTCTTGTCCGTCTCGCGCATGTCGGCCAGACACAGCCAGAGATGGTGCTCCTGGACCACCATAGTGGACATCGCATGACCCAGAGACCCCGTCGTAACCTTCGTCGCTCGTAGCGCGAGGTCCGTCGCGGTGCGGAGTTCTTTGAGAACTTCCGGGTCGTGACCACCCTCGTGCAAGTTCCTCAGTGCCTTAGCCTGGTGCACTTGCAGTAACGCCGAAGCGTGTAAGGCGGACGCAGCTTCACCACAGGCCAGTACTCTCCAAGTACTGCCGATCAAGGCCGACGAGTGCCTACAGGGCCGGGAGGGGAGCAGCGGTTTGCCCCGCCAAGTGGTAGCGGCATTTGGACACAATTGCATCGCAACCGACCGTCCCACCTGGGGAACTCGCACGTACCCCCGCGCTGGACCCCCATCAAGGGTGGTGAGGGAGGATGAGCCACCGGGCCGGTTTCTGGCAGTGAAAGGTGCTGTCCACGACCCAGCAATTTCATGATGCACCTCCGAGAAGAAAGGCACTGGGGTGGGGCCCTGAAAACCAGCGCATGCCACCCCGAGAAACCAATCGTCCAACTTTGAGGGTTCGGGACGCGGTGGACGATTCCACTCGAGCCCGACACTCTCGGCGGGCCGGGAAAGCATAGCCATCATTTCTGGGTCTGTATCCGGCACCGCTGACCGCCCAGAGGGCAGCAACGCTGACGGATCTTCATCCCTGGAGAAATCCAGCTCACTCTCCGATGCTGCAACCGACATACAGCCTGCTCTTTTGAGAGCTCCGCTGTTTCGGAGTGCCGGCTGACTGGGGCATCCCCGGAGGGGAATTCCTCACCGTGACCGTAAGACCAGTCCGCCCACTGCCAGGAGAAGGGCGCCCCCGGCTGCCGCCAAAGGGAACCCCAGATCTAGGCAGTGGCACGGGCACACAATGGGAGCATGAGTCATCCTTGAAAGCCACCTCAGCATGCTTCATGCCCAGACACGAGAGGCAGCGATCGTGACCATCACCCGGCGCCAGGTAACGACCGCACTCAGAAACACACGGATGGTACGACATCTTTAAAAAGACACGTCTTGAAAAATACGTTCCACCCGTGAAGCTCTTTTAGATGGAAATTGCTCTTTTAGTGTGCTGAAGCGCACAGGGGAGATGGCCGTCTGCAACACACACAAGGGTAGTGCAGCATGGTGTGTGCAACCCACTCGACACGGGAAAACAACCGCCGCTGAAGTGCCGTCCACCAGCATGAGAGCCCACGAAGAGCATGCTTGACTGTAGTTTGTACTATTGTAGAACTTGGTCAGGAGCAGAACGATAGAACCGCTCGGCTCTGAAGCGAAAAGCTGAATATGCGCTGCATCTGCTGCCTACTTATACTCACGCTGTGATCAGCAGCAGCTGGATGCAATAATCGTATGCAAATGTGCATTTGCTCGTTTAGTTTACGCTCGAAGTAGATTGGTCTCTCTAAGCGAGATCCCAATTCGTCAGTCATCCGACGTGACGTCGAGAGTGACCGACTGAAAGGGAACTAGACAGGTATTTGTGGAGGGGGAAAAAAACGAAGGCTTTAAAACCTTTTTAGTTCTCATATGAATTTACCCAACGGACAGCATAGACGCAGACCTCAGGAACAATGTGACGCTGATTGATGGACAACACTACCACTACTTTCCCAACATCTCGCTGTACACTGTGTTTGTAAGCCATGAGATAATTTCTGCACTTTATCTTTTATTGATGTGCTTAATTTTAGTTTCTAGAACCCACATAAACCACCTTCTGCATGACTTCCTGTTAAACAGGCATTGGAGGGATGGTTAGTTCATTCCCAGTGAAATGGCATACAGGGAAAATGAATCCATCATAGGTACAATCAGCCTGACCTCAGGGGGGATTCATACAGATGTATAACTCATGTGCTGGCAGGTATGAACACTCAGAGATGAGACTGTTTATCTTTGTCGTTGGGTTGAAAAGGGCCACTTTGGCATCTATCCGCTCCGCTAATTCCCACCGTCTTCTATCTGGTTCCTGCTCTGGGCCACCATCCGTCCATCCATCAGCGGTGTGCACGCTCGCTCTCGCTTTGATACTGTTGCCCTCACAGCTAAAGCAATGTTCAGGGTTCAATACAGGCATTTTTTACCACTGAAAATAATTGTGTTAAAAAAAGTTACAGTAACAACATGCAGAGAGGCAGAGATTCAAAATGATTTTCCATTGTAATGTATGTTTCCATTGTATCAAGCCCGAATTCTGTTGCTACATCCAGAGCATTCCTTTAAACTCTGGTGTGAATAGTTTCCTTTTGTATTTCCCTCATTTGATTTATTTTATTTTTCTCTCGCTCTGTCCAGGTGTAACAACAAAACGCAGTGCATTGTCATCACTGGACCAGATGTTTTTCCTGACCCCTGCCCAGGAACATATAAGTACCTTGAAGTCCAGTATGAATGTGTTCCCTACAGTAAGTACAAGCTGTCATGTTACACCTTTATGAGTGTGCCTTAAAATGCATTTCTCCAGGATCCAGTTTTTATCCTTTATAATACAGTGTTTATAAAACATGTACACTAGGCTTTTTTTTCTTCAGGTTTCATTATTTTATAGCATTGACAATGGATTTAATTTAGCTTTTTTTGCCGTTGATCAACATAAGAGTTTTAATGTCAAAAGTAAAACAAGACTAAAAAAATGACACACCTAAACCATCACTGGCACGGCCAATTCATTTTTCAAAGTCAGAGTTAAATAGTTCACTTGTGAGTAGTTAAGTGGTTTCAGTTGATTGTAGTATAAATACAGCTCTATCTGCAAGGTCCAACTTCTGGTGAGTCATTATTGCAGAAAACTGCGGACTCCAAGCAGTGAAAGTGAATTGTAATTGAAAAGCACAAGGCAGGGGATGGATACAAGACGACTTCCAAGTCATTGAATATCCCTTGGAGTACAGTTAAATCAACAATTAAGAAATGGAAAGAGTATGGCACAGCTGTAAATCTACCTAGACCGTTTTCAAAAACCGAGTGACCGTGCAAGACTGGCGAGAGAGACCACCAAGAGACCAATGATTTACAGGCTTCACTGGCTGGGATTGGAGACTGTGCATACAACAACAACTGCTGCCTGGATGCTTCTCTAAGTTTATGAGAGAGCCCCAAAGATAAAGTAACTGTTGTAAAAAAAAAAAAATGACATCTTGGCTGGAGTTTGCCAGAAGGCATGTGGAAGATTTTCAAACCAGGTGCAAGACGGTTATATGGTATGATGAGACCAGGATTACTCAATTTGTACACTTTCATAAAGGGGTGAATATGCAGTTTAAAAAAAATATAATACATTTTGACCACAGTGAAATAAATAAATAAACAAACAAATAAATAAATACATTTTAGATTTTTATAAGCAGAAATTTAAAAAAGATCATATTATTACAATAAGAAGCTAAACTAAAAAATAATAGTAATAATAATAATAATAATAATAACAACAATAACAAATACTTTTATAGGCACTGTATTATCAATATCAGTGTTTGCAAGACAGCATTATATAATATTCTGCAGTTTATGACAGTGATGACATTGGCAATATTTGCAAGATGAATTGTGATTAGTCTTCTTTCGTGCATTTATTCACTTACTGAATTCGGATTGGTCTTTTCTTGCTTGTTAAACATATATAGCCATTTTTACAAAAATAAGATGAACACTAAGTGTCATGAAAACAGCAAAGCGTCTTTGATGCAGCATTTCATTTACGGTCGAGCGTCCTGTTTCTAGGCTGGCCAAACGATATTTTATTTTTGGCGCGAATCACCCCCCATAATCACGAATCACACCTCATATGCGAGGGACTGTGGTGGCGAGTCCACAGTCTCCTCTGTCTCGACACTCGTCACATCCACCTCCTCGGAGGAAGATAGATGAAGCGTCTGGCTCTTTCTCTCTCGCTAAATCCACCCGCGATCCCCACTGCCAGCGGGATCGCGAGCCTGGCCGCGATCAGCCAGCCAGGCGAGAGCGGAGCGTGCGCAGCGAGAGCTCGCAGGATGACAATCAGCTGCTCGAAAGCTGACCGTGCATGCTCTGCTCCTAAACAAACGACACACACATCGGACAGACAACAGTAAATAGACAGACACATACACAGAGCGCTACTGAAGAGCAGAAGCTGGTTTGCGCCCGGCCGGATGTGCTTTTATGCTTTCTGGTGCTTACGTCACCCTGCTCGTGACGTCTCGCTGCTCCATTGGACGGATTTGACACGTGCTTCAGAACGCGGTCACGCAAGGGTGTTCCCAAAGCGACTCGACGCAGCTCGAGTTCCTGAAGGGGAATCTAAGCTTAACACTTAAAACACTATTCGTTTGCTGCCTTGCAAGCACTGCTATTTCCTTGAGGACAGAAATTGTTATTCATGGTTTTTTTTATGATGCAATGCTTTATTCTAATGATGCACAGTTTTTTAGTGATTGATTTGTATCCTGAAATCTTGTGCAGGTGTGATTGTAGCGCATAGAGCTGGGTACAAAATGCTTTTTGCTGCCTTATTTAAATGTTGACGTTGTTTCATAAAAACTAAAATGTAAACCATTTCCATGTGTTTTTTGTTTCCCTGTGAAAACTTACTTTTTAGCAGTCTTTCATCTATCAGGAACATTACAGCGATGCACACTACATGAAAGCAAAGCTGCATTCTCTGACGTCCAGTCTTTGCACATATAATCGCTCAGAGGCAGACCAGCATGATTTCTTTTGCCTTAAAAAAAAAAACGATTTGGCCAGCGTTATGCCAACTAATAAACAGGCCAAAGATGTTTTTCGTTAGTGCTTGATCCTTGTGTTTGCTCGTAAGAAACCGCAGCTATACGACTGTCAGAAAAGACAAATGACTGCACATGGATCTAACATGAACAAACTCCAAACAAACGCCTCACTTCTATTCTCAGATTTCCCATTACATTAAGAGTATGGATTGTTTTGCTCCATTAAACAATTAGATAGTAATATTATTCTCTGATTGAATTGTCTCGTCTTCTCAGAGAATGTTTCCAGAGACTTCACATACCAGACGGGGTCCTCTGCCGCACATTTCCCACAACGATCCTGAAATAACAAAGGCCCGCTGGATTTTAGTGCCTATAGCATTAGTTTAATCTACGTCCGTATCTATGGGTTATTGAAGTCGAAATCCCACAAAAAATTTTAAAAGCTGTTGTTTTTTTTAATGAACTATCATGTTTTTCAGCTATTCTCCAGGAATATCTGTGATTTCTTTTCTGATGCGAGCACCTTTACAGAATAAGTTTTTTGTCTTAATGTTTCTGCATTAGCTCCTCTAGGCATTTCCAGGCGGTCCGGAACAGTTTTATTTACTAATCACAGTTTGACTCCCTAGGACGCCCGAGCCCTCATGTCACCCTCAGGCTGCTGAATGCTGTTTTTTTTTGACTGGAAGTGATCTTCTTATTTGGTTTTGTTTGGTTGCAACAGTGGAATGTTCATGATGTTCTTTGGCCGACGGTATCTCAGAGAACAGGATTTGTCCTGGTATTAAGTGTACTGCATACTCTGAGATCCAGATTGTTTTGGCTGACTAAACTAGAAATTATTTGCCCTGTGGATGGGCTGATGGGATTATTGGTTAAAACTAATAATTTGATTAGTTTTAACCAACCTCATTAGTAACCTGGAACTATATGGATTAACTTTTTTCTTATTTAATTTTTCAATGGGTATCTATCTATCTATCTATCTATCTATCTATCTATCTATCTATCTATCTATCTATCTATCTATCTATATATATATATATATATATATATATATATATATATATCTATGTTTATGTATATATTTTCTTTTGCTTTAATTATTATAACAACCTAAAATTCTGTTTGTGAGTACAAACTAATGAAACACTGTTGTAAATCTGATGTAAACATGTCCAGAATCTACGTTCAACCCAAATTCAAATATACACTAAATTATAAAATATAATTTCCAAAAAGAAACTGAAACCAATTTTATGGACCATTAAGGTTTTTTTGTATTATAATATTATTTTCAGGACAATTAAGCACATTTCCCCACCAAAATTATTATTACTGCAATGCATCCAGAAATGATTATTTTATTTTTTTTCATTATTCTCTAAGGTGAATCTCATTAGGCTGCCATTACTGGAATGCAATATTTTGTATCATACTATTTCTTTATTAAATCAACATAAAGGCAGCACAAAAAATACTATCATGACTATTACACTTTGTTTGGCATTATGGCCAAAAAAATATATAATAGTATATATTACTAAAAGAAATAGTATACATTGAAATAAAAATGGTAATGGTCCTACAGACAAATATAAATTGTTTTCTGTAAATTCTATTTCATTATGTCTTCTTTATCTCATGTTCCTTGTTCTGGACAGGTTTCGTGAGATTCATAAGCAGAGGTCCTGTAGAAAATGGTGACTTCCATAAAAAAAGAAAACTCAGTGTCTCATGGACATTGTGGCCAGAAAACGGACACTATTTGTAGATCGATCATAATAATACAAAAAAGGAAATCTGAGAAATGTAGCTTTAGATTGTCAGAAATGTTCATGTTTTGGATTATTTAACATGATGCTGAAGATGGCCTTCATGAGATAAAACTCCTGAAGACTGTCAAGATTATGTTTATATGTCTGTCTGGATTTTGTCTGTCTGTCTGTCTATTTATGACTCTTTATCTTTATCTGGTATTATGGAAGGATTTGGAAGGACAGTGTATTGGCCCGTAGTACAAAGCCATGATGATAAGAATTTCTCGAGAAGCGAGACTTTAAAAAAAAGTGCCTTAATAGCAAAATATTCTTATTGACTAGTAAATTAGTTAAGCTGTTTATATTCATCATATACTCTATTTACTCAGAATTCACTATAATAATACAAAATAATAATAACCATGGACAAGACTGTCAGTATATTTTTGAAGTGAAACTGGACTGTTCCTCAGTGAAACAGGCACAACAAAGTAATCATTTAAATGTTATAATCACAAATACCAAAAACTATACTTGCAAATTACAGATGAAAGATCTATTGTTTATTCACTGTTATGACGTTCCAAACAGTTCCAAACCCATATGAATTCTGTGGAAAAATGGAATTTTAGTATAATTTAAGTGAAAGACGTAAACTCTGATATGACAAATGTTCACCGTAAATAGTATAATGAAAGTGATTCATATGATGTGTGGCGTATGTCAAGTCTTTTGATAGAATTGTGTGAGTAGAATATAAAGTTCATATTGTTTCAAATGTTACAAAGTTAATATACAGCATTATTGTAATTGCATGAAAAAGAGTGATATTATTCAAAACTATGTTCCACAAAAGAAAGCAAATCAGGTATTTTTGGAATGACACGAGGTCGAGTAAATGGCTCTTTTTCATCAGGAAATCTTAAAGTAAGCTGACAGACGCATGCTTTAAACACAGCAATTTCGCCAATCTCCCACTGCCACACTGATCTGGACTAAAATAAAAATAAAAAATGTCACCTTAAAAAGTAAGAATAAATTTTACAAACTTTAACTGTTGGAAATTGGAATCGCATACCGCCATTCCAGACTGTTCAAGTGTTCGTATAAAGCCTAGAAGGGCTGACAAGAACTCTGTGCTTGGAGAGGAACTGTAGAGTCGAGGGACAGCTTTATTTTTCTGGTTTTGAGTTTCCCTCCAGCACAACTTACCATCTGTCCACCTGGAATTCAGATTCCCCTGGTCGATGTCCCCGAGTTCTTATGAAAATCTATACGCCGCTATCTAGAATTCAGCCCGTGTATTTCCCCGCAGCTTTCCCTCGACAAGAGCAGATTGATTTGTCTTCAATGCCACATACGCTGTCCTTTTGTACTGTGACACAACCCCCTTTAACCTGGCTCTCTTTCATGTGTTGAAGGTGTCTAACTGCGCTCTCTTCCTCCTCTGACAGCTGTAGCTCTGTGCATAATGCCCGTAACCTCATGACATGTTAACTGCATGTGATCATGGACATGATGGTTAATTCATTTTAATCTCTTTTTCCCCCTGCACTCCTTTCATTCTCTCTTCCAACGCTTAAAATAGAAGTGGAGCAAAAAGGTAAATCACTGACACAATCAGCTCCTTGTTTTTCTTTCTTTAATATATATATATATATATTTTTTTTTTTTTGTGGTTGTAAAACCTTCCTGTGCCCACTCTTGCTGTTCCGATAGCAGGCAGTAGCAGAAAGGGTCTTGTATTTTAGTAAAGGTCAGTGCACGAGCGGCAATCGGAGGGAAGCTTTAAAAGAAAGTGATAAAGCACAAGTTAAATGTTAGCGGTAATGCTGAAGGTACAAATACCCTATTTCCCTCTCCTCTTCCTGTCCTCCACACTCTTTTATTGCCTGTTCGAACCCCAGCCCCACTCCACACTCCCAGCATGCTTTGGTAAGAGGGTTCCTATAGACTTGCACTTACTCTGCTGTTTCTGGCTTTCCCTTCTTCTAATTTTCTCTTTCTCTCTGACTCTACATGTCTCTCTCGCTCTCTCACTTCACCCTTTCTACATGTTTGACTATCATGTCTTTGTTAAGAAGAAAGGAAATGCTTTATGCTGTAAAATGATTGCAACATTAGGCCCGTAGGAAAGACGTAAAAACTGTGGAAAAACTTGTGTCTCGGGACACAGACTGCCTGTATGCTGCTCTTCTCTTCAAGCCTTATTTAGTTGTCTGCTTTTATTTGCAGGGCAGATTTGTCATTTGCCTTCCTTTTTTCCTTTGTGTTTGGTTGTGGTTTGATTTTTCCATCACTCCCCTCAGTATGTCCAAGCAGCAGTGAGCTGAAACTGTTTGCTTACGGACACATAAAAAAATGTTTTTGCTTCCGTTTTAAGCTTCAATAACCTTCAGATGCAGATTCTTCGCACCTTTTACTGCTTGTGAATGTGGGTAGCTGTTAGACTTCTTAGTGTGTGTTTCTGTCTTCACCGACTACCCAGTTATCAGAGTGATGTAGAATCAGACGGCACTTTGCCCTCTGCTTTCAACTAGCGCGAGCTGCGTTCGCTTACGTTTGACTGTTCTCTGCTCTGTTCTTCTCATCACTAGTTTTTGTTTGTCCTGGAACTCTGAAAGCGGTTGGAGATCCGTCGTTTCTGTATGAGGCGGAGCAACAAGCGGGGTCGTGGTGCAAAGACCCTCTCCAGGCAGGAGACAAGGCTTATTTCATGCCCTGGACCCCTTACAGAACAGACACACTCATTGAGTACAACTCGCTCGACGACTTTCAAAACTCCCGACAGACCACGACGTACAAACTCCCCCATCGGGTCGACGGCACTGGATTTGTGGTATATGACGGGGCGGTGTTTTTTAACAAGGAAAGGACACGTAACATTGTCAAATTTGACCTGCGGACCAGAATCAAAAGTGGGGAGGCAATTATAAATAACGCCAATTATCATGACACCTCACCATACAAGTGGGGTGGGAAAACAGACATCGATTTGGCAGTTGATGAAAACGGCCTTTGGGTGATCTACGCCACCGAGCAGAACAACGGCATGATGGTGATCAGTCAGCTCAACCCCTACACCCTTCGCTTCGAGGCCACCTGGGAGACCACCTACGACAAGCGGTCGGCCTCCAACGCTTTCATGATCTGCGGGGTTCTGTATGTGGTCCGATCCACGTACGAAGACAACGAGAGCGAAGTCAGTAAGAGCCTCATCGACTACATGTACAACACCAAACTGAACAGAGGCGAATACGTCGACATCCACTTCCCCAACCAGTACCAGTACATCGCCGCTGTGGAATACAACCCGCGAGACAACCAGCTGTACGTGTGGAATAACTTCTACATCCTGCGGTACAATCTGGTGTTTGGTCCACCTGATCCAGCTCACGGTAAGCCTCATCTCCAATCCATCTAGCCACACACGCACACACACAGAGTCCCTCTGGATATCCGTTTAAGTGGTCGCGAGATTTCAGCCACTGAGTTGGTATTCCTCTGGCTCCCGAGTCTGTGTGTCAAATGTCACGGATGACTGATTTTTAATTTCAGATTTAATATGTGCTTGATGTATTCCGGAAACCTTTCTCGAGTGCAAGCAACATCTTAGAGTGGAGTGGTGGGACTCGGCAGTAAACAACATCATAGGCGTTGTTAGCATATAATAAGAGACGCATCCCTCGAGGTTTCAAAAGACAGAGCCATTCCTCCCCAGCGTTTAGACTCTTGAGGCTAAACTCCCTCCCACTGCCCCAATGAGAAAGGCACCGCTTCCCTCATTGGTAGAGGGTTACCTGTCTGGACAGGTACGTAGGCAGCCTTGCGGCAGCAGTGGATCACCCCCAAAAGAGTAGATATCAAGCGCCTCAAAACAAACAACTCACACTTTTGCTCGAAGGCCTCTCAATGTGTCTGTGCTGAGAGACGGCTCTCCGCTGAGACCAGATCAGTCCCGAAGGTCACGTCAGCGTAGCCTGTTTTTAATTTAGCTGTCAAGAGCTAGGACAGGATGGCCATACTATGTGTCAGATCATCTTTACATTGAAAAAAATAATAACCGTAATTACCATAATCCCAGCTCAGCCTAACGGCCGAGACTCTTGCATTACTCCAGAAAACTTGGCTAAGTGTAGAGGTCAAACAACTTTACGCAGATTAGTGGGGCTTAAGAATTTAAAATACGAGTGTCTTTCTTCTGCGGAGACCCAGCGGTGTCTACCTTACTGATAAATCTGCTTGTACAGACACTGAGCAGAGTAACTGTACCCAGGGCCGTCGTGAAACTGTACCCCTAATGAGTTCACTTTGGATAAAGTCGTTTTGGATAAAAGCATCCACTAAATGACAAGATAGTAGTTTGTAATCTACAATTTTTTTGTGGCCTGCTTATAGCATTAAAAGCACCTCAAAGGCTAACTGTTATATTATAACCAACCATCATAGGTGTGCTTCTGATATGAAGGCTGCGACCTTTTTAACTGGCCAAATTCAAGGCAGTGTCACATGTATCCTTCACAGACAATGCAATCTCAGAATACACTGTGGAAGAAAAGTTGTCTGTGATAATATATATATATATATATATATATATATATATATATATATATATGCTTTTTAAATCATCCAAGATAAAGTAATAATCAAGAGCAAAATTGAATTTTGTACATTTAAAATATGCATACAAGCTAAGAAAAATATGTAAAAACGGGGCTTAATGAACCATTAATTTTTCACAGGAGATTTTCCCTTATTTTAAATTGATTTAAAAGGAAATGTCCAGAAAATGGATAATGTCCTGGCAGAAAATTACCAGTACCTTTTCCATTTTTCAAATCATTTTTTCCCCCTACCATGTGTATTGCATTAATTGCTGAGACGCATATAGACATCACAGTGTACCTTAGCAACATGCTAACTGCTTACCATATTGAAATCAATTGTAATTTGTGTCTGTGCACTTCACATGAGGAATGTTATTTTGTGCTCCTCGCAAATCATTCACTTGAGGTTCCAATGAGGTTCCATTTCTCTTAAGATGCTGCTTTAAAAGGTGCCTATGTAGACTGCAAAGCAGCTCACTAGCTTTTGGAACAGAGCCAAAACACCTCTCCGAAGGCTGTGTATGACATTCATAATCACATTACTATCGGCACTACTTATTATATCAGACTTATTTTTAAGCTCAGGATAGAATCATCTGAGTCATTCTTAGCATGTGCTAGCAGCTTTCCTGTAGCCTGAAGCGATTACTGCCACTGAATTAAAACCATCGAGCAAATTCATCCCTGCACAAGCAAGCAATTAAGTAAGAAATATCAACTCAATATCACTTCAGATGCAAAGTATTAGGGCTCAGATCTAAAATTCATCGAACATTTCTCTGGGGTGTTACCTCGGAGGGTTCAAATCTTTCATTAAGGAAATGTTATCACATTGTTACCACAATGTATCCACTTGTGGTTCACACTTGTACGATGTGGCTGATTGAATGTGCCCGTGTATATTCTGCCTGTCTTTTAGCAGCCTGTAAAGGAAATAATTAGCTCTACAATCAGTGCTGATGAAGGACAAAACATGCTAATTTCACTAGCATTAGCTCCTGTGCAGTGCGCAAGTTGAACGATACCCCCCATCCCCACTTGAATCTAATCTGCCATCATTTGTGTTTTCTCTATTTTAGATGTGGTGATTATCTCATCATCTCAATAATCAGCTCACTCACACAGCCATCAGAGTTGTGCTCCGCAGAGTTGATGTTTGATCCACTTTACTTTGATAGCTGTGAAATTACCTTGATTTTGAGACACTGCTACAACGAACCACTAGAGTATGTACGATATGATAAGCCCCTGCCTTTATAGGACGACATCCCTCCCCTTAAAGTCCGAGGGCAACAAAAACAGCTCCTCTTCAGGGATGGAGCGATTACAAGATTAATTGTTAGGGTATCCCTTACCAAAAAGTAGTATACTTCAAGTTTATTTTATTAAGTATACTTAAGTAAAGTTCAAGTATATTTTTAAGTATACTTTATGTAGCAAGTATACAAATATCAGTGTACTAGTAGTATACTTGTAAGTGTACTATTTTAATACTCCTTGGGACTAAATTGGCCCACTTTCTAGTATATAAAAGTATACTTTTAAGTATACTTTAAGTATAACAGTAGTAAACTTTAAGTACACAACTAGTTTACAACAATATTTTTAGCTTGTACTGCAACTATACTAAAAGTGAACTTATATGAACACTGATAGTTTTCTAATTAAATACTTGTAGTAGCATTTTTTAAAAGAAAGAACAGGGTATCTGCTTGTAAACAAAAACATTTTATTCTAGCTTCATGCATTCTTTTTTTAAACACTTGAATGTGGGTAAGTTTCATAAATAATCAAAAAAAAGAAAAAGAAATAAACAACATTTTCAACAAAAAGCTGAAAAAAAGACTATGAATTGGATTCAGAATGATAATCAAAACATAGATAGAGTCGATCAACACCCCAAAGCTTGACAGTCATTACCTCTTCATTGGTCGACATTACATCAACGTTACACAGTTTTGATGCTGTTTTATGTCTGATGATTGTGCTAGAATACATGTGGAAGCATCTGTTGTTTCGGTTTCTTCTTCACTTGTGTTTTTTGGAAATTCGTTACAGAAGATGTGTACTAGTGCCCCCTACAGTATAACAATGAAAACACGGATTCTAGGAACACAAGTATAGCTCAAATATATTTAGACTTAAGTATAAGTCAAGTATACTTAAATGTCATGTTAAGTATATTTCTGAGAAGTACATAAAGCCCATGTCTGAAAAGTACATAAAATTAGACTGAAAGTATACTTTCCTATTTTTTTTATTTAAAAGAAGTATACTAATAGCACACTTGAATAAACTTATTTTTCATAAGGGATTCGTGCAAATCACATGACCAGAAATACTCCAATATCACATCTGTATCTGCATCAATGACTGTAGTAGGTCCGTTTTAAGTGTGGCTCTTAATTTTGCTCAGACTGTAACAGTCTGGGTGTAAATGCGGACTGTTTTTTTTTTTTTTAATTATTATTTAAATTATGACTGACTGGAGATATTGAACAACATCACAGACATAAACAGGCCTAAAACTGTTTTTCAAGATATTCAACATCATTTTATTGAATATAACATTTTCAACAAAAGGGGAATTCAAAAGAGGAATTTTAACCTTCAGACAATGTTGATCGGCAATCTCAAGGGATCAAACTAAATACTATATGTGGCATTTTATTTTCTGATTATCTTCTATGAAATGTGAAGTTTAAAACCTGGTTCAGTGTTTTCTGGTATAAATATTGAATAAAATGTATAATACAAAAAAAAAAAAAAAAGTATGCCAGAATGGGTACCAGCTAGTTTAATATTTATTTACTACTTTGTTTACTATACTACAACTTCTTGTTTTGTTTTGTTTGAGACACAGAGACTGTTAGAGACTGAGACTATTAAAACAGATACCCCACTAAAATAACTGAGAATTGTCCTTGTTTTGATGCAAGTAAGAATGCATTTGAGATTCATTTTACTACCAAGTGTAAACAGCGATGTGTCTCACCTGATCACTTGTGATTAGTATACTCAAAACTAATACCAGGTGTAAACAAAATGTAATGTATTATTGGACTGCATACCACATACCTACCAGAATACTTGCTTGTTTGCTGGCTTGATAGATTGTTCCTTCATGTGGAATGCTGGCACAACATATTAGGATGACATCTCATAAAGATCCTAAATAGTATCATATGTGCCGTTTGCTGAAAGAGAAAATGATTAAAACCAGCAGCATATTGATACTGGAATCATCTTTCATAATGGGGAATCATCTTGATGTGGAGGAGACAGACAGCATTTATATTTGCCATCTGAATCGGGGTGGAAAACACGCATTACGCTGCTTGCCACTTAATCTCATTTTTTCTCATCATTAATGGAATTAGTTTGACACTGATTGTGATAATTGCCATGTGATATTACACTGCTGATGGTTAGCTAAATTTATGCAGAGCCTTCTCTGCTCCTGCCTGAAAAAAATACTGTTTTGTATATATATATATATATATATATATATATATATATATATTACAATTGCTAATGCTGCTGCATAATTATAAGATGTGAATTTCACCTTCTCCCTTTGACCACACGTCTCAATCTTTTCCTCTTTGTGACATGTTTAGCCCCTCCCCCAGCCTAACCATTTATTCTCGTAACCAGCCCTCCCACATTTAGCCCCTCCCTAGAAAATCGAATTTAGCCCCTCCCCCAGTCAGCCCTTCTCAGTTGGAGGGATGCATCCTAGGGAGGCTATCTTTCTTAGACCAGTCCCTCTATGGCTAGACTACTTCTCAGCATTAAAAGCTAGAATGAGACGGTCTAGTAAGTCTGCATGACAACAACCTTTTAGTTTTTGGAGTTCTTGTATTCAAAGTAAATAAAAAACAAAATAAAATAAACTCCAGTATGAAAATGCTGCTGGTAATATAAGGGTTCATATAAAGTAGTAATTTTACAACAGTCAAAATAAAAAAAAAAACGTAGCCTACCTATACGTATGAATTGCTGCTGTTTCCAGTTAAAGTGAACACTAGAGGCAGTAGAACTCAGACAACTTTTATTCCTTTTCACAAAAATTATGATTTACAGGGTACGAGTTTCCATTACGAAAGTCTAATTTTCGCAAAATTGCTTGCACTATATGCTATGACAATTTTAACATCCTGAGAGATTTGAAAACTGATATTTTTGAATGTAAGCGTCACATATACAGCTTCATATGTATTGGTTTTCTCACGCGATATGGCGTTGTACTTGAGAGGCAAAGATCTCCGGTACAAATTAGTGCTGGGCGGTATACAGGTTCATACCGAATACCGGTGTTTATTTTTGTTATGATAACCATTTTTAAAATACCGCAATACCGGTGTATGTCGCTTAAACAACGTTCGGAACGTGACACTGTTTGAAAGGGGTCCCTTTTCACTGTTGCACTGTGGTGAGGGCACAGCTGTATGTGTTGCTAAACGTGAAAGTTCCGAAACTGAAGCTGTAGAACTAATAGAACGTGATGACACAGAAGAACTAATTCACAATATCCACATTGACCGCCACAAATATCCACCGCCCCCTGCCATCAGCTCCCGCGTCTCACACACAGGAGCGCGAATTTAGCACTAGATTTAGCAACTTTCAGACCCTTTAACGGCTTTTTCATACTGACAAACCTAGCGACTTTTTCGGATAAACCTTAGCTATGGTTCAGTTGGAAGATTTCGCCAGTGCTGTCCCATGAACGCAAGGTCTGACTTTCCCGGAAGAAGTGTCACCTCTCTCGGCGTCTGTTCTGTGCAGTGAGTGGCTGAGAAGCAGCGCATTCAGTTGGCCCCACCGCAGCCAACTCGTCAGTTAATGAGTACAAAACAGCGTTTCGTAGCACCTGTCACTTACTGATTGTTTGGAATTATAAATATGAGCATAGTTCATCTGTTAATATCACATGCACTTTTTTGTTTGTTGTTGTTGTTTTTTTTAGGCAGTGGGCTGCATGAGACAAAAAGTAATATAGCCAAAACAACCGCATAGCCGCTCTTTAGTGTAGATGCATGTTGATTTTATCAGACGATGCCGCAATTATAAATGAGAGTGACTCCTGGTTAACATGTATTAAAAGGGGTCGTGTTTAGTCACTATTTAGTGTGGTATTTTTGACAATATTCACTCATCATGACAGTAAAATAGGGCATTCTAAGTCAATATACTGCAGTATTTCCTCTCTCAATCAGTAGGAAATATGGTTAACACCCGGTCATGCATGAAAAAAAAATACCATCATGTACCGTGAAACCGGTATAATTTTGAAAAATACCGTGATATAAATTTTTGGTCATACCACCCAGCACTAGTACAAATCCTGTGAAACCGCTCAGAAAATTTAAATAGCACAGTTGCATCAGTAAATGCGTTTTTATATGACTTCTGCTTTCGTTAACACTACCGGGAAGGTTAAGGGTTGGGTTTGGCATAGAGAGTCCCCAGACATTTGAATTCAGAACCACCACAATACTGGCATAATAAAAATGTGGCCATTTTTTAGCACCACTTGCTGGACATTTCACTTTGAAACTGACACAACATGTCCAATAAGATACATAATATTGGTGTTGCAGAAACGTTGTCACAAGCACGTATTTTCAATGAGCCTGGGTTGTCCCATTACATCCAAGCTATGTGTGTGTTGTCTTGTTTTGCCTGCATTTGAAGGCGGGCCAAATGACCCCTATAAAGAAAGTCTAGTCTGGTTTAAGTCTAATTTTTGAAAATTCAAAATTGTTTGGGTGAGGGAAATATTTCTAAATGAATCATCATTAGCTCGATGTAAAAACAGTAGAAGTCACTGGAAATTCTCCACCATGCTGGAACTAGTCCTTAGGTGCTTATCGCCACAACTTCATTTGAATATTTAGTTTGAAATTGTTCTCTCTTGCAAAGGTAATATTTCTTCTTTTTTTGACATTGAACTGAAGGTTCCTTTGAGCTTAATGTGAGTCAGACACATTTTCATTACAGCACTACAAACGTACTTATCTTAAGAGAAACTGCCTTTGTTACAACAAAGAGAAAATTAATATGTCTGCCCATAAATCAGATTTCAAAGGCATTCTGTAAAATAATAACAGACACCTAGGTGCTATGAGACAGTTGAGTAAGTATCCATTACTGCCCGCATGTTCAGTTTTGAAGGACCACAATCCATAATCGACACCACACCAAATTATACATAAAGCACAAAGGACAATAGTGTCAAAGTTTGAAAAGTTTTTTCTTTCTTTCTTTATGAAATGGTCTCTTTAGCACTTTTAACTTCCTTGTGTTTTGCTCAGATTTTTTCTCTCTGTCTACATAAAGGAGCGATGGATTTCTCAAAGACACTGTGAAGTGTTGCATTTATTTTCTGTAATTCAAATCAAATAAATCCATATAAGTTATTTACACAATGTCCACTCTTGGAATGAACACTGGTTATATATAATATAATATGCACATTTGCACAATTCATGTGTGCATATTATACCGCTTGAATGACTTTCCTTTTTCGGCTCACGTAACCTAAGCATGTGGCATTTGGATAATGTTAACCAATAGACAAATAGTTTTTTGAAGCATTATTTTTAGGCTACAGTTTTAGTAGAATGGTTTGCGAATGGTTTCCTGTTGACTTTAACAGGCTTCTCTCACCTGTGGTTTAATTCTGGAACATTGAGCTGAAGCTTGTTTTACAGCCATCATGACAAACAGCCAGAATCTGGGAGTGAAAAGCCAATAATGGCACACCAGTCATGCCAACCGTGTCAAAACTCACACACATGGGTGAAAACCGTAAAGATTCGGGGTCTGCAGGTAAAGGCGTTGCAGCTGTTTTTGCTCAGTTTTTATCTGAACCAGAGCTCTGGCTGGTCAGTTGACACTAACTCACAGTAGGTCACGTCTAACCTCAAAAAGAAAGCCTTTTCTTTCACTCGATTGGTCTTTTCCACCTCACAAACATACACAGAGGTGCTCTCACACCCATACTGCGCTAAAATCTCTCACACCTCTATGGGCCGCATCATCGGTGGGTTTCTTGGCTGCACGCTGTCGTTCACATAATCAGGTTAGCCGATGAAAGCGGTGGGTGAAGTTCAGAGGGTTTTCTAGGTTTATCCATATTTGTGGTTGGAGATGTGAGGTCAGGTATATCACTGTTACCCTGTACAGGAAGAACTAATGCAAAATGCAAAGAAGTTTGAGTTATCTAGGACTCAAACCCCTTCACATTGTGTAACTTCCTAGCTAGGAAAAACGTAATTACGTTTTGGAAATAAGACACGTATATTTTCCAGTGTAAAGTGTGGCCTGCAATATTTGCTCAGTTTACGCTGATATATGTACCATATTTTCTTGCCTGAGGAATTACAGTTATATATTAAGATTATGAAATATAGACACAGGAACAAAGAAACTGAGGGTGAGAGAAAAAATATGTTCAAAAACCGTGCGATTCAGCTCTTTAATAAGCTCTTGAGATACAGTATAATAGAGCTTGAGGTCTTGTATGCAAGCTGAATATGTTTTGCTTCATAATTATTCTCTTTTATTAAGCACTGGCACCCAAAACAGAACATAATTTGTGCAACAACTAATTTGACCTATTATTCTTTTTAGCACCACCTATCTCAGAGGCATCCACAACGCCCAAGTTACTAAAACCAACAACCACTACAACCTCCACTGCTCAACCGAGAGGTCAGGTGACTACAGTTACCACTGCAGGCAACAGAGCTGTTAATAAGACACCCAAATCACCAGCTGTACTTCCCCAAACCACCACGCCTCCCTCACTGGAGTCTTTCCCTCCACCTGAGCGCTTCTGCGAGAGCGTAGAGCTCAGGGACATACTGTGGCCGCAGACGCAGAGGGGCATGCTGGTGGAACGACCCTGCCCCAAAGGAACTCGAGGTGGGTGCATGTACCTGTTGAAGTGTAACACGCTGCAGTTTTCCACTCAGGGCTCTTTGAATTGCTATCAGTCACACACAAGCTGATATGCATTTGGCCTCTAGGCGAAGAGAAATGGGTCTATTCTCTTAGGATCGACCATTTGAATAAAACAATAAAGCCATGAGAGGCCATGCGTTGTAGTGATGTTACATTTAGCTTTAATCATGTTAGCAAAGGTGTTTACTTATTAGAATAAATCATTTGTTAATAATAATTAACATTTATTTATGCCAATGCGTGTATTTATTTGGTAAGTCGTCAGACAGTCCTTTTTAGCTTTTTGTATCTTAAATATCTTTACTGGTGCTTTATTTTGCCATAACAAATATTGGTCAAACTTTATTTTGTGTCCTTGTTATAGTGTAATAATATAATGAAGTACTGAGTAACGTTAATTAACTACCAATGTTGGTTAAATGTAATGGAATTACATAATTTAATTACAAAATAAATGTAATTCTATTCCGTTAGTTACTGAGACAAAAAGTGTAATTAAATTACAGTTACTTATGAAAAGGTTAATGATTACAAAGGGGGGTAAATCTTAATTTTGTTCACATTGATTTCTTTCATAAATTGCATCGACCGCTCTAAAATATAAGACACCAATGTTTCAGGAGTTTAGGACACATGCTTATTCAATAAATGTTTTATTTCCTATTTGGGTTTATGCTTATGCTTTATTTTATTTATTTTTTTAAGATTAACTGTTTTTTTTCCAAGGCATTGTTGCCAGTGTTTCCTATCATAGCTATGCAAAGATTTGATTTCAAAAACAGTATCATAGCTTCTTATGATTTTAAATCTGTATTTAACCTCAGAATGATCTCAAAAGTAAAAAGAGGTGCTAAAGTCTGATTTTATGGTGGCTGTGCTTTAAAATCCAATTATTATCATCTTAATTCAAGTGAAGGCTTTTGAAAGTCTGATAGTCATCAGTGTTGAGTATGACTGTGAGGTTAACCTGCTTGCTTTAAATGTTTCAAAATGATTAACAGTTCGAAACATTAGAAAAGTAACCAAATGTAATCAGTTACATTACTTTAATAAAGTAATTGACGTAGTTACACTACTGATTAGATTTTAAATAGGGTAACTTGTGATCGGTAACAGTATTATATTTCCAAAGTAAACGTCCCAACACTGTTAACTGCATCTACTTACTGTACACTCTAAAAAATGCTGGGTTGTTTCAACCCAATTTTGGGTCAAATATGGACTAACCCAACTGTTGGGTTAAAAAGCTGATTTAAAAATGTCACCAAAATTTAACCCAACAGTTGGGTTAGTCCATATTTGACCCAAAATTGGGTTGAAACAACCCAGCATTTTTTAGAGTGTATGGTTAGGGTTAGGGTTAAGGGTTAGTTGAATGTAATTATGCATAATTTATTTTTATTACTATAGTAAGTACATGTAACTTGTATGACAAAGTCACACAGCAATGAGATGAGTACAAAACAACAAAGAACAGTAAACAGTGCAGTATCTTGACAAAGAAATAATACATTTGGCTTTAAGGATACATTTACAAGTAAAAGCTAATAAATGTAATTATAACAATTAAATGTGAAAGAACATTAATAAATTGTGCTTGAACCACAGACTGGAGTCAGATCACTCACTGGCTCTCATTTTATGACAGACAATCCATATCGTATTTATTTATAAATTATTACACGTACTAATGTGACAAATAATAATGATGATGATGTTATCTTTATTTAAACAGGCACTGCCTCCTACCTATGTGTTCTCTCCACTGGGACCTGGAACCCAAAAGGCCCAGATCTGAGCAACTGCACATCCCACTGGGTGAATCAAGTCGCACAAAAGGTTTGTAGTTCCAGAATATATCTGTCCTCGCAGAACAAGGAGCAAAAAAAAAGTGACAGTCTTTAGAGCATAACATCATAAAAATAAAATACTCTCCGGTGCCATATTGTGGAGCTCATTCCTTCTGTTATCACTTGTTAAGAGGAAGACACACAGCCTTCAAACATCCAATAGGGATCTTGCAGATCGATCTGTGTGTGCACTTTTCTGTTAATGTGAGATGCTTCCTGTAAATAGAATGAATGTGCACAATGGGACACCAAACGTCCTACCGTACACCCACAAAAATGAACGAAAGTAGCAGAAATGCTTCAGCCATTGAAATGCTCTTCCAAAGTATTACCAGTTTCTAATGATAGCTGTAATTGCTCGCGGGGGTGCTGTTGCTGACTCAGCGTGATGATGTCATAATGGGAGTCAAGAGCCTCGTAGATACAAAATGATATTTTTCAGAGCCATGCTGTGAGGTTAATTTGTGTAATCTCTCAGATCCGGAGTGGGGAAAATGCAGCCAACCTGGCGAACGAGCTGGCCAAACATACCAAAGGAGCCATCTTTGCCGGTGACATTAGCTCTACCATGAGGCTCATGGAGCAGCTGGTGGATATTCTAGACGCTCAGTTACAGGAACTGCGACCCAGCGAGAAAGACTCCACCGGCCGTAGCTTCAATAAGGTATTAACAGGATTTCATTCTCAACATGATTGTTTAATAAGCAGCAGCATGCCGTGGACGTTTCAGAGGTACTTTGCTTAAAGGACACTTGCTTCAAAAAGATTGTTAAATGGCATCAAACTCATTGTGTTACACCCCATTGTGCTTTTAGAGAATTGAAAAAAGTATAAATGCACAGATTGAAGTGAATCACTCAGTGGGTTTTGCCTACTATCCATGCAAAATAGTATGTCTGATCAGAATGAGTGTTTCCAAGACATTGAGTATGCCCATGATGCTTAGATGATATACTTTGTCTGGTGTGCATCCGTACATGCATTTTTGGGTAATATTTTGTGCAATGGATGAGGACTTTTAGTTGTATAATAGTGATAATAAGATTGAAGCTGCCACAATGGTTTTTAAATACATGAATGTAAATGTATGACAAAGTTGACATGAATGAAAGATTAAGAAATAATGAATATCTAGGTAATGAATTTAGATGCAACAAGATGTGACAAAGGGGACTGTGGTATCACAACAACATGGTAATAAGTCCCAGTATTAGTGCACTGTCTCGCACACTCATACTTTCACATCACCAGAATAGTACATATTTTACTGCAGTGCAGACCCTTTCTGAAAATAGGTCACAAGGAGAAGAATGAAACCAGTTATCAGTCTACAAAAATGATTAGCTGCTTTTATATAAAACCTATGCATTGCATTTAAAATACATATGAGAGACTGCTTCATGTGCTTAACTGCATACTAGCCCTTCTGGTTACAACTGGCCGTTATGTAACATTTACTTCAACCGTTAGGGATCTTGAGGGCATACATTCATCAAACATGAGCTTTAAAGATATATGACTTTATTCAGCATGTTCTAAGGCTACTGGGACTGAATATTAGTTGTTGAAGACATAGTTCAACCAAATGTAAAATTCTGTCATCATTCACTCATGAAACCCATAAGACTTTTGTGTACAAATATACATATTTGTAATGCTACTTGAGAGAATTCTGTCTTTGCATTGAAAGTCCATTCAACCTAAACTTTGAAGCTTCAAAAAGTTTGACATTATAAAAGTACGAATTGAGTAGTTTAATCCCAGTTTTCTGAGGGGACACACTATGTCGAACAGATTTAATTCAGGCTTTTATTCAAATGTAAACACTGCTCAACGCACATAAAAAGAGCACATCAAATATGGACAAAGGCAGCTCAGCATGCTTCACATACAAGAACAAACTTCATTGGTTCTTGCACATCAAGCAAGGATGTTTGAGCTTCTGTTTTTTTGGGGGGTTTTTTTTACATTACGTGGTTATGTATTAATGCATGCAATTTGATCGGTGTTTAAATGTGACTACAAGTCTAAATTAAATCCGTTCATCATAAAAAGTGAGCTTGTTCGTTCCTTCAGAAGGCTTAGATTAAACTGGAACCACATGAGGGTTATAATTATAACAGAATCTTCATTTTTGGGTGAACTATCCCTTTAATTCAGGGAGCTTGGATAGCAAATTCAAAGCGTTTGAAGTAACATTAGTTTTGTTAAATACTAAGACAGAAACCTCTTTATTGGCTATTGTGTTGTCTGTATGGCTTTTTGTGTGTTTCATTCATTAAAGTCAAAGAAGTGGGTGGATATCAAATGGCTGGAGCGCAGGCTGTACTCACTAAGAGTGAAGTGTTTCTTTCAAATGAATTTCATAGTTACAGGCCAGTGGAAGGGACTGAAGGCACACAAGCCTGATTGCAAAGAGTTTGGATCCCCCAGTGGACTATAACAAGAATGGCATTTGTCTCATGGAGCCAGTGTAATTTACATGAACAGGACATGTTCCTGGACCAACATCCTTAGTTTAAACAATAAGCTATTACTGTAAACCTTAATACCAAACTTTAAATTGTAAATCAAAGATTTATTTATCTTGACCGCACACTTCTTCAGTGAACAATGGCCCTAAACCCTATTTATGATTTTAACCATTACCCCAGCCTCTTGCCTATGATAAATCATAACTAACATCATGTACAACACTAACATCAACTTTTAAAATATGGTCACACTTTATTTTGAGGTACAATTCTCGCCAATAACAAACCATTAACTATAATGTGCTGCTTATTAATAGTTAGTAAGGTAGTTGTGAATTTTAAGTATTGTTTAGGATTAGGGATGTAAGGAAAGAAAATGATGTGTGGCCAAGTATGGTGTCCCATGCTTGGAATGTGTGCACTGCATTTAACCCATCCAAGTGCACACACTCAGCAGTGAGTAATGAACAAACACACCATGAACACACACCCAGAGCAGTGGGCAGCCAATGCTGTGGCAACCAGGGAGCAGTTGGGTGTTTGGTGCCTTGCTCAAGCATGGTATTGAGGGTGGAAAGAGCACTGGATATTCACTCCCCCCACATACAATCCCTGCCAGACCTGAGATTCAAACCCACGACCTTCGGGTTGCAAGTCCAACTCTCTATCCATTAGGCCACGACTGCCGACGTAGTACTAGTTAATAGTGAGAATTGGTCCCTCTACTAAAGTGTTAACTAAAATACTAAGCCTAAACTTTACTTTTCACCTCAAAAACCCAACCCTGCTCCTTCCCCTAGTACAAACTCACAATACAGATCCTGTAGAAGAATAGCTTCACTTTGATTTGGACATCCATTGATTTGTAATCACTATTCAGAAACCTAATTTGAATCCCCAACTTTTATCCCAAATCACCAATTCTATATCCTGACCCCACAATCCTTCATTTAACCTGGATCCCAACATTAAGCTATAACCCAGTGCCCAGTTTCGTACCCTAAATCTTTACCTTAACCATTATTCCTAAACCTCACCTGTACACCTAATCTATTTCCTGACCCTAAACTCCTTCATCTAATCTGAATTCCAGCCTTTAGCCCAGGGTTGTCCAAATTCGGTTCTTGAGGGCCACTGTCCTGCAGAGTTTACACACTGCTTGGAAGTTTCTAGTATGCCTAAGACCTTGATTAGATTGTTCAGGTAAGTTTTAGTTGGAGCTAAACTCTTCAGGACGGTGGCCCTCCAGGAGCCGGATTGAACACCCCTGCTTTAGACCTATCCCAGCACCCAATTTCTTACCATAAATCTTTATCTTAAACGTTATTCGTAAACCACACCTTTACACCTAATCTCCAACACAAGCCCTTCTCTTAGTTCAGTTTCCAACCCTGATCCCGATCCTATAGAGGTAAACCACACATTGATTTAGGCAGTCTGCGTCTGAATATTGTTTTGCATATGTTTCATTTGCATATTTTAGATGGTAATGAGCTACTGATTCTATTTTTACTTGAAAGAGCACCTGAGGGTTTTCGAAATCACCAGACTAAATAGTTGTTCTGAAAGCCAGGCCACTCTGTACACCCCTACATTCATCCGTTACGTGATTTCATCATAGCAGATCCAACTGCTATACTGTGTTTCTGAAGTGCTTGTGGATTGGAGAACCCATTAGTACACCATCAACCTTTCTAACTGTCTTTCTTTGGTCTGTTTTTGTTCTTGTGTGTGTCCTCTCTCAAATGAAAAAGCTTCAAAAGCGAGAAAGGACGTGCAGGGCGTATATGAAGGTATATCTGTGCTACGCTACTATGCTCCTCACTTGTTTCTGTACTTTCTCTTCTTCTTTTCCTGCTATTGTTTCTCAGCATGGTCCCATGCCCTTTCATTCTCACTGTCGTCACAGCATTTCACTCCGCCTGTGTCCTCATTCCCAGAGGTTCAATATTTCAGTGGATTGTTAAATTGTGTGGCTGCAATTTTTATGTCCAGTTCATCCCTTTTATGTGTTTGTTGGTGGTCTTTTTTTTCAGTTTCTTTATTGTTAAAGTCATGTGTTAATATCTGTTGATGTGTGCTTGAGTTGCAGGTTGGCGGTGCATGTTCTTATTGGTTGTAAAGGGTAGATGTCAATTTGTGGTTCTTGAAATGTATTGATTGCTACATTGGTTTTTCCACAACATTTTCAACTGCTAAAAGATTTACTTAGACCTAGCAAAAATGAAAAATTTAAGGAGAGATTATGCAGAGATCACATTAAAGGCAGGATTCTGTTTCGCAAAGGCAAATCAGTGTAAAATAAATCAGTGAATGTGAAACCCTAGACTGTGAAGATGCATATATCATCTTTTAATTTTTATTGGTGTGTAGGAGCAAAAACGATTTAGCATTGAGAGTAGTTAAAAATGACCATAAAAATGTAGGAAATTAGAGCTTGTAGGAGTCAGAGCTGCAAAACCAATCGGATGAACAATAATTATCAAAGGAGGCGACAAGTATGAATCGATATTTTAGTCTGGTGGGGTGTGTGTGTGTGTGTGTGTGTGTGCGTGCGCAGAAGCTCTGATTAAATAGCAAGAGAGTGTAAGCGTCCCAAAAAATTCCAAAATGTGCATTTCTAGAAATAGGATTTTAGAGTTAATCTCAAACGTAACATCCCTTTGTAGAAACCTACTGCATTTTTGTAAATTCTCTGACAGTGTTAACAGGTGGCTATTTTTTTATTTTATTTACATTTTGTGCATCATATAATCAAGACCTAGAGACGCCTTCAGTTCTGATGACACAGAACAATGGTGTCTTTATCTTTGCATTCTGAAGGCGTCACGACCGGCTGTCTTTCTTTACCTCATATGTGTCCGTTTACGTGCTTGAAGAGCCTTTGACATTCAATACTGCACTCTTGAGACAGACAGAGCATGTCGGGCTCATTTCTGCAGCCTGTTTTTATGTGTGTCACCTGATAACGACCTAAAACAAAGTGTGCATGTTTGCTTTCATTTGGGCACGGGCAAACAGCTGCTGATAAAGTCAAGGCTTTGACATTTGACCTTACTACAGTGGTTAGTGCTGACACAAGTGTCTCATTGGGCTGCAGGCTATCGTGGATACAGTCGACAACCTCCTCAGACCGGAGGCTCTGAAATCGTGGCGAGATATGAATACCACAGAGCAGACGCACGCCGCAACTATGTTACTGGACACCCTGGAGGAAGGAGCCTTTGTCCTTGCTGACAATTTAATGGAACCGGCCATCGTGAAAGTACCAGCCAGTAATATAAGTGAGTACGAGCGATAGAAGTGACAACATAAACAGCTTATTTTGCAGCTGATCATTTTGAGTTTGCAAATATGCTTCAGCTGTGAAATTATAATAACAGTGGCCACTAACACATGGCTGGTTGACATGAAATACTTTTTGGGAGTTGACATGTCCTGCAGCGTGGCACGCTAACTCTGTCTTATACTATTTTAAACAGCATTTTTCCTAATTCTTTTCTTACTGTTATGCATGTAGCTTTTACGACCTCATATTAATTGAGACTCTACATGGAATATTTCTACTCCATTCATTTGCCACACCGCAGGACCTTTTAAAAATGAAGTGAAGGCAAAAATGTGATTAAAAATAGTGAATAAAGAAATTTTGACCAGTTCCAGGGACTAATATATATACTTTCCTGTATACACTTTTTATATTTTGCACACCGTTGATAATACAAAGTCCAAAAATCAATGAATCAACACTTGATTTTTGGCCTAACAGGTTATGGAGTGAACATCTGTGGCATGTTCTCACATTGTTTTGTGCAAACATATCTCTTTTCTATGTAAATAAGGCTTAATATATATTGCTCCTTATTTAGAAAACTTATTTACAGGTGAAAAATTGAAATCATGACAGAAGATTGTTATATCCAGAGTTGTAGTGTAGACAAACGCACTTTTTAAAAAACTGCTAGTAAAGTAAGCCATATCGCTGTGGTCTGTTACATCCACTACAGCCTAGCAACTAAAACTTCAGAATAGCATTATGCAAATTGCGTTCGGCACAGATTTTGTGGGTGCGTTTTCACCACTAACTGATTTGCATAATTCCTGTAGTGAACTGAACAACGCTAGATATGCATGCAAATAAACTGCAATTCATTCTCAGTGAATTCCCCCAATTATTATTTTTTTCTCTGTTTCCGCTTGGTGAACTAACATTGTGAAACATCTGATTTCTCTCTGCAGTTCTGGATGTTTACGTGCTGAGCACAGATGGGCAGGTTCAAGATTTCAGGTTTCCCCAGAGCGGCAGGAGTGGTATTTCTATCCAATTGTCTTCCAATACGGTGAAACTCAACAGTCGTAATGGTACGTTCCAGCCCACGTGCGAACTCACTCATATACGGTCATTAGTATCAATTCCAGTTAGAATAAGAACATATAAGATCCAATTGTTCCTGCCACTATGGAGATAGAAATGCTCTCATGGTCAGAAGAAGATCTGAACATTGATGTGAACATACTGCTCAACATATGTTGTTTTCGACAAACATAACTGGGTCTGCTGCAGGGTCGCTCTGGAAAAAAAATCCATATACTGAAGTTAGAAACGTTTGTGTGGTATATACGTTTATTTATGGGATGATCATGTTTTCTGATGTACATGGGTGAATGTAAAATTAAGGATGATTAAAACTACTTATTTTAAGGGTATAGCGTTGCCATTTTGTTGTCACTTTGCAAAATCCTACTCTTAATAGACTTACTTTTAATTGTACAACATGTAAATTGATCTGTTCCTCTATTAACTATAAGGTGAAATCCAGACTTGTTCTTGACAGATGCACTGACATAATAGACTTTAATGAGAAGTAAGGTGTGCCGTTTTCTCTTCGCAGGTGTTGCCAAGTTGGTTTTTGCCCTTTATAAGAACCTGGGGCAGTTTCTAAGCACAGAGAATGCGACGATGAAGCTCGGCCACGAGGCTAACGGACGCAACCTCTCCGTGGCTGTGAATTCCGACGTCATTGCCGCCTCAATAAACAAAGAATCCAGTCGTGTATTTATATCGGAGCCTGTGATTTTCACCCTGGAGCACATCGACGTGAGTGCAAGCAATAAACAAACAAAGAGATCGTAAAAGCAGCGGGATAGCAAAGCAAGACGGCGAAGAAAAGGAAATAAAAGCAGTCTCAATTCAAACACCCTACAAGGTCACAGAGGGGTTTAGTTAAGTCATCGAACATGAAATTAACAAAGTCTGAACCAATGATTATTACCAGCCTAGACCAAATTCTTAATGAAAACTAATTCGTTTGTCGACATTAGGATGTAAATGATGCAATTTCCTTTTTTCGGAGTGGAAAATTAACTCCCAGATTAGCTATACAATGCAGGATGAAATTACCAGAGGACCAATTATCATCTCGCTCTCTTTTAAAGTGTCAGGAGTGCTCCCAGAGGAGACCCGGCTTGATTTTTGCTCTCTATCAAAGTAATTGTGTGATTTCCACAGACATGCCTTCAAACCATTCTGCCCCCTGTTAGCACCTCATATAATCAATGGTCCCATGCTAGATTTCGCACTCATTTAACCTTATTAGATTCTTTAGTCGTTTATGTGAGAACACACACTGCGCATTCAAAAGAGTGTTTGATATGGCCAGCGTATCATTTGCAAAAGAATGAACGCCAACAGTCGGAGTGAATTAGGATGCCGTTCCCCCAACGTTCACGTGCAGGCGCCATTATCAGATGGACGGCTGCTAAATATTAATTCATTATCGTCTGCTAACTCATGAGGAATGTTTCTGTCTCCTCCTGTCGCTTCCAGATGCAACATTACTATAACTCCAACTGCTCTTTCTGGAACTACTCCGAGAGAACCATGATGGGATACTGGTCCACTCAGGGCTGCAAACTCATCCACGCCAATAAAAGTCACACCACCTGCTCCTGTAGTCATCTCACCAACTTTGCGGTGCTCATGGCTCATCGAGAGCTGCTGGTAAGATGCGATCTTCATAAATATTTAAGCTTTTGTCCATGCGTTACTGTGAAACCCAGCTGTTATAATAGACAACGCCAACACTCATCTGCTTCTCTAAGCCAAACGCTACCAACTGATAACTCACTGGATTGCAGACGGTTGCAAGTCAGCCTGTTTTAGAGTTTGTCTACTTGTGATATTAGCTAAAGTTTCTTTAAGCAAAAACCGAATAAATGTTTAAAGCCGAACTTTCTGTGCCACCAGTGGGAAAAACATAAACACATAATGCCGAGTTGACACTGCACGATTTTAGCCCGATTTTTCACTCGCCGACAGGTTTTGCGAAATCGCCGACAAATGCCTGAAATCGGAGGCAAATCGGTGCTCGTTCACGCGAGTGACAATCATGCAGTGTGAATTATCAAAGACGCGATCTGAGAGAATCGCCGACGCCCATTAAATATTTGGCATGCTAAATCTAAAAATTAAATTTTTTTTTTTTTGAATATTAAAAAAAAAAAACACTAGCTTTCTATTTTTTCTATTTTATCTACTTGTTTTTCTTTGTGTGTGTGTGTATAATATATATATATATATATTTATAGATGACCTACAGCCAATGAGAGAGCACGATACAGTGCAGCGGGAAGTTCGGGGAGGAGTTATATGAAACGTAGTTTGCGGACCAGTGTTGACAAATCCGCGATTGCCGCCAGTAGTTTTTCATATCAGCAGGTTGAAGCGACCCCAATAATGTGATATTTAGGCCCTGGAATGTGAATTGTACCAGGAGAACCCCGCCAAAAAAAT